AAATAAAAATAAATCCCAAATAAATAATTAAAAATAAAACCAAAATCATCCCATTTCTCTGCCACCTCCATTTTCACTCGCCGGAAACACCACCCAACCGCCACCTTAGCCACCATAAACCACCACAACCATATAGCCCTCCATCCCGTCGTTAACATGGAAGGAATGGTATCGATTCCAGCGAAAGAACTATTCAAATTCTCTCATAGCATTCCTTCGTCTCAAATGATTGGGAAGGAATGACCAAATGTTCCCAAAGGATCATTTGAACTTGACCTCGCTTCCTTGCCTGCCAATCTCAGTGAAGTTGTGGAGTCTGAACCTACTGAGACTGGAAAGGTGTACACTACTGCTGCTTCTTCTAAAATTTTGGCATATGTGGATTCGAAGGTGAAGTTTGAGAAAAACGCTCCCAAAGAGAAACTGAAAGGGAAGCTTATGGGAAATGCATTGGCAGTAGCAGGCTTGGTGACAACGGGATGGAGGACTATATGGTGGGGGTGGTTTCCGGTGGCTAAGGTGGCGGTTGGGTGGTGTTTCCGATGAGTGAAAATGGTGGTGGAAGATAAAGGGGATGATTTTTTTTATTCTTTTAATCATTTATTTGTGATTTATTTGTATTTTATTGAAAATTTTGGGAGTATTGTGGCAATCTATTATTTATTTTTCTTTTCTTTTCTTTTTGTTTTATTTAAATAAGACGTATAATTGTCATTTTATTGATAAATTGGATGAAAAAGACGATTTCCATAATAAAACGTAGAAATATGGGTGAAAATGTAAAAAATTGAAATGTATGCACGTTTTGCACATTGAACTCCAAACGTAGGGACGTTTTGTGCTAATAACCCTTTCAAGAATGTCACACTTGTCCATTAACCGCTTCCCCAATAGAATTACCAAATTTCCGGTCATTACAAATTCTAAAAAGCAATAAAATGTAGTGGCCCAACCCAATATTTTTGTTGACATTTTGAAGCTTGTACAGATCAGACTGGTGATATTAAGCCTCGTTTGACCCCATTAAATTTAATATATTTTTTTTTCTTATTTTCAACCACATATTATTTAATGAAATAATATTATACGTAAATTGAAAAAAATTCTTCTTTTTCAACCACTTATTCTTCAAAAAAAATTATTCTAAATATTAAAATCTAAAATAATGGGGTCAAACGAAGGCTATGCTCCTGTTTGATAGTCATTATAAAATAAATTGAGGGAAAATGATATTTTAAATAGTGAATTTTTGGAGAATACGTTGATAAAAAGTATGAAAAAAAATTTCAATTTACGTTCAAAATATATTTTTGCTTGAATGTGTGATTGAAAATGAGTATGAAAATAATGAGTTTTGTTTTAACAGGAGTCAATCATGGGCTAAGTAGATACCTTCATTCTTTTACTCAAGACTTGCCTTGAGAGACCTTGAAATAATTAATTAATTGTCGTATGATCCGAGACCAATACCAATAGTATTGGATTATAGTTTTGTTGACTTCAAAAAATGAATTCAACAGACGTCGGGTCCACTTGTATATGCGTAAGCCATATCTGGCATGTTAAGGCAAATCTACGGTCGAGATCGCTTCAAAGATTGAACATGAGAGAGGCTCAACAACACGAGACGTTTCCGTTCAGACTCCGATGAGATTTATGGAACAAAATTGTATAATTATCAATCAATGAAAGCAATATTTGTAATTGTAATAAACTTGATTAGAGAATGAGATATGTTGCTTTGAGTACTTAAAGTTTCATTAGCCTTCAATTATTACATGGTGAGGGTATTTATAACGTTATAAATAGAATGATGACCTTTAGATCAAATTATACGTGGCCTCATCTCCCAAGGCAAAGCATCAAATCCTAGCCATCCAGTTGACCTTCTTGACTTTTCAAAGCATTTAATGTTTTTACATTGACATGACATGACACAAATACACTTTTTACAAAGGTCACATCAATTATTCAAATAAAGATCTTCATCACGAGCAAATCCCTGCACGTGGGCCGTTGCGAGTTGAGAGGCCTCAGAACGGGGAGGTGCGTCAGGAGTGACTGGGCCTCTCTGATAATAGAGCCTCGACTCCACAGCTTAATTCTGATGGCCACGTGGCAGTCTCTAGTGACAAGTCATAACAGTTTTATTAAATACTACAATGATTTTATGAGATTATATTTAACTAAATATATTGTATATTTAATAGTGTATACTTACGATTTAGATTCTGTACAACTAACTACCTAATTAGTATATGTGTTTTGTCGAGTTTTCTTAAAATGCTACTACAATAGAATCCATCCTGTCAGTTCATTTTCGGTTTCTAGGCGGCAACTCGATGTATAATATTCCAATATTTACACCCTGTTCGGGCCACATTATTCTCTCAAGAATACATTTTAAATAGTATTTTAATGAAAAATATCTGGTTAAAAAATAAGGAAAAATTTTGAAATTGCGTGTAATATTATTTTATTGAAAAATATGTAGTTGAAAATAAGAGAGAGAAAAATGTATTTTTGCCTCTGTTTGAGCCACATTAAAATTTTAATTCTCATTCTTCTACTCATTTTTAATCGCACATTTTTCAATAAAATAATATTTTATATCACATCAATAACTTTTTTTTGCAACAATACATTCTCTATCAATCTACTATTCCAAAATACATTCTTTCAAAATATTGTGGCTCAAACGCACCCTTAGAAAAATAAGTATCAAACATGGTGTTAGAGTTTTCTTCTTATATATTGATAATCGTATCTCACGTTCAATATGATCCAATCATTATTATGGTCCGTTTGACATAATTTTTGAAAAGTCAAAAGGAGTTTTTGAAATCCAAAAGTTACTTTGAATACATTTGATTAATTGTATGAAACTATTTTTGGTAATTAGAAGAGTTTTTAAAAAAAACTGATCTAATGTGACTTTATCTAAAAGTATTCCTGGAATAAGAAATGCTTTTAAAAAATAATTTAAAAACAAAAATTATGATAACTTCTTTCAAAACCTTTTTTATAGAGTAAAAGTAAAGCTCATACCAAACGGACTGCACATCAGTTTGCACAAAATTTTTAACTTATTTTCGTTCCTAAAAATTAATGAAAAATAAAACAATGTTGGAAAAAGGGTGACGTGGTCATCTAAAGGGCCTGTTTGGCACGATTTTTACTTTTTCTTTTTGTTAAAGAACCTTTGGAGAATATTACTTTAATTTTTGTTTGGAAACTAATTTTTAAAAATACATTCCATTCTAGAAGTGTTTTTAGAGTAAGTCACGGTGAATCAACTTTCTCTAAAAACTCTTCTAATTAATGGAAGTACTTTCATAAAATTAGCCAAACATGTTCAAAAATCATGTTAAATGGAGCCAAGTTTAAATTCATATTCAATTAACCTCTTCACATTCTTTACATTTCCACTTGCTCCGACCTAGGTTTATTAGCTGGATATTTGAATAAGACCTTTGTAGTCAAGATCATTTTTTTTTTTTAAATCAGTCCTTGTTTGGTGACCATTTGTTTGGAAAACTATTGTTTTGAATAGAGAATTTTTGGGAAATGTGTTGTTAAAAACTACAAAAAAGTTTTGGATTTACGTGTAAAATATTTTATTGTGTGAATGCGTGATTAAAAATGAGTATGTAAAAAAAAGAGTTTTGAAGGAATGGAAAACCAATAAAAGCCAAGTTTGCTGAGTTATGCCCTTGTTTGGTGGCCATTTTTTTTTAAAAATTGTTTTGAATAGTGAATTTTTAAAGAATGTGTGATTAAAAACTAAAGAAAAATTTAGGGTGGACATGTAAAAAATTTTATTCTGTAATTGTGTAATTGAAAATGAGTATGTAGAAAATTGAGTTTTGAAAGAATAAGAGACAAACATGGTTATGTTGGCGCTTATGGATATGCCAAACCGTTAATTCAAATTGTAGTTTTACGTCTCTCACACCCTTAAACACAAACAAAATTTATAGTCAATCACATATAGTTATACATGATAAGAGATTTTAACAATTCTAGCTAGCAAATAGCAAAATGATCCGGAGCATCATAACTCAAATGAAGTCTTGCTATTTACTAACAAGAAATGACTTGGCCTCATCTGATGTTGCTTAAACACTAATTTACTTCGAGTTTGCAAAGTCTACTTTTCATTAAAATTATTGAAAGCTTATTTGACACTGTTCTACGTTCATATCCATCTTCGCTGAATTTTCATTTTTACCCTTGTTGTACATGTTCAAAAGACGAAATTGCCCTCTTCAAAATTTTCCCAAACGATTAGATTAGTCTCCACTTTTGATATTGCATGGAATTTGATGACGAACACACTAGTGATTTACTCTTGTTTGACAATCATATTTTTTAAACTTTTTTTTTTAATCTCATTATCAATCATATATTTAAACAATAAGACATTCTACACGTATATTTAAAACTTTTTTTCTACTTTTTAACTAAACGTTCCTAAAAGTCTCTATTCAAAACTTTTTTTTTTTTGAAGAGTGCGATTGTCAAATAGGGATTTAATCAAAATTATAGGTTAACGAGTCTCACACGCATGGCAAACAATAAGTGATTTTTCCATAGTTCCAACAGGGCATAGTGAAGGCTTATTGCTTAACTTAGCAGGTAACTTGTAAAAGCTCCTAAACTAACTTCGAATGAAAATTGTGTAATTGATATTTGATACACACTCCCACGCCATATCAAAAAAGAGGAAATTTATGAACCAATCCTAAATCAAACCTTGCCATTCCCTTTTGTCCGTCGTTATCGCTAGAATTCACACATTCTAGTAGCTATCTTTTGACGTATAAAATAAGCACATCCAACGAATCCCTTCCATCTTTTCTGACTATAAATTATAAATAATTCTGACATTGAGCAGCCCCCACATGTATTACCGCCATATATATATATGTACAAAAAGAGTTTAAAACACACAGAAAGGAGAGGTTTTGACCAAAGTTTAGCCCTTTTGTAGAGAAAAAATGGAGACAGCCTTGTTGGGTGTCGACGGAGAAAGCAGTGGAAGTCCAAGAAGAGACCGTAAGCACATATTTAACCGCAGATCAGATGCTATTGCTTATGGGTCTACTTATCAGAAGGCTGCCGCTTTGGTTGATCTTGTAAGTTATTTATTTATTTATTTTCTCCATCCTTTGCTCTCCTACCCCAATGGGTTTATGTGGAGGCTTCAAAACTCGCTGGCCTAGACTTTAATGGTGTTTCTGCTAAAACAGGAAAAAAGAGTGGTCTTAATATTTTACTTCACAATGTTTAGGCATTGCTAGCCTAGCATCTTATAGCTAGTTTCTGAATATAGGTATTGTTTGGATTTTAAAGAAGATGATTTTAAAGTGGTCTTATTGTTTGGATTTTCAAGAACAAGTTTATTTCTCGGGAAATCAAATGAAAACTTCGGAATTTGGACGAGTACATGGAGTAAGGAGATTTACTTGATTTTCGATTATCAAAGATAGTGATGTCTTATACAAGTTGGATGAGTTAGTGAACTGCTGTAGATTAATTACTTAGTTTGTGGAATTAAAAGGGCAAAATGACTCAATCTATTGTGGGAAGATTTTGACACGAGAACATGGAGCTTGACATATTGTGAAAGTAGAACAAATGGGTTTGTAGAATTATCAAAATGACTCAATCTATTGTGGAAGATTTTGACACGAGAACATGGAGCTTGACATATTGTGGAAGTAGAACAAATGGGTTTGTAGAATTATCAAAATGACTCATTCTATTGTGGAAGATTTTGACACGAGAACATGGAGCTTGACATATTGTAAAAGTAGAATGGGTTTGTAGAATTATCTGAAAATCTTAGTAATTCTGCACAAGGGTTTAAAGATATGAAAGATGTTCCCTTGTCCGTTTATTGCTAACGCTTTTAGTCATTCAATAGGTTACCAAACTTGTGGTGATCTTGTAGGAATCACTTTGACTTTGAAAATTCACGCTGAGTTCATCTAGGAATTGAGTGGGCGAGTTGGCAAATTTGAACATAGCCATATGGATTCTATAGATTCTAATGAGGAGGTATTATATTTCCATACGAGATTCAAATATGAAATAGGATACGCGAGAGATTTATAACCATTCATCTTCTGTTCAAATCCTTCTGTATGGAATATTATGAATATTTCTGATTGTCCAATGTCTAAGTTAAAAGGGCTATTAAAATATCTGCTAATTCTTGGTCCTTGTTGAATCAAACTTTCCGTTGTGATTCAGTTTCTAGCCTCAGGTGACACAACCCGTCCCGAATTATCCTAATGGACCCGACACGTGGCATGCACCGATGGTAGATACCAATTAAGTGCTGGACCCACTACCAAGGCAACTTTGACTTGCTTTGAATGTGACATTTTTTTAAATTTTTTGACAAAGTTTCCCTTGTAATATGGAATAAAACCACCTGAGCAGTAATCTATTTTCTCAAACCTATTCATATAATTTAAAATAGGGTACACGAGCACCTAAAAAAAATATTCAAAATACAATATTGGTAAATCGACCTTTATTATCATTTACAAACAAAAGTCCCCAAAAGCACTAAAAATACCAAATATGCAGTGAGCCCATGATATGGAGGGATACATACATTACAATTTAACTTTTCTGACAATAGAAGCATGTATTCTAAAAGAAACATGAACTATATAAACTGTCAAAATGAGTTATACAACTAATGACAATATGTGGCTCAACTCGGTGGATCGACAGGCTCCAACGCCGCTCAACTTAGTTATTATCTAATAAGGAAAATGGTGACAAAATATATGAGTTTGTAATTCGGTGAGTGGATATTTCACAAATAAGTATACTTTTTTTTATTTATGCAAATTTTTTAAAAACTCCTAGTTATGCTATTACAACTTTAAAGAAAGTCAGAAATTTGATAATACTTTTAAGACTAAATCTTTATTATGTAAACTGAGTAAATTAGATTCTGTAGTTTGAAATCTGATAAGCTTTATAATACTGAAAAATCACACCAAAAAGGCACCTGGAATAACAATACTCATGTATTGATTAACACTTATATACATGGCGAAGTTATTCAATTTTGAAATTCTGTAATTTTGAAATTCTGGTCATATGCGTGTAGAGCTGTCCAAAGGCTATAACCTGATTATACACTATGGAAACACATTCATACTAATGCAAAGCTGGTAAAATCACCATAATGGTTGTACACTGTGGAAACATATTCACACTAGTGTAAAGCGGGTAAAATCATATGGGTACTTTCAGTTGGTTTTAAAAATAACTTTAGATATGTTGAAACATATTAATATAACATGCCAACGAAATGATTTGTTCGAATTGAATTTAAGTTTTAAAAGAACTAATTATAAAATTCATTTTATTTTAAAAATCATGCTGTCAATTCAACTCTAAGAAATAAGTAACTTTCTGATTTACTATAAATTTAGTAAATACTTATTTCTGAAAAATAAGTTTTTCCACTTACTCAAAAAAGCTACAGACTATGAAGGTCGATAAGTTTTTTCAATCTCTTCGTTACCATCTGAAATTCGATATAAAATAACTAATTTAACCACTATCATACTAAGTGAGTGTTTGACACCCATTTTAATGGGTTGAAAATTTTTTGGAATAGTTATTGATGGGAAAATGTGTGGTTGAAAAGTGATGAAAAGTTTTAGATTTATGTGTAATATTATTTTATTTGGAGAATGTGTGGTTGAAATGAAAAAAAGAGAAAAAAAATGAGACAGAGAATGGATGCCTAACAGGGGCTAAGTAGTTTTGAATACTAATAAGGGATAATTGCAGCTGCGTTCCCAAACCTTTCAGATTTTTGCGCACGTTACCCTAACCTTTCATTTGTGCCAGCAGTGATCCCAAACCTTTACTAAATATGCGGCAGAGGTCCGTTAGTCAACCCACAAAGTCAAAATTGGTTCAATTTTGACTCAATTCAAAAGGGTAGAATGGAAATTTTACTTATTTTAACACATTACATAAATAAACAAAAAAATAGAAAAAAATTTAAAACTCTCCATTCCTGTGCAACAACAATGGCTGCCGGCACAACCACAACCTCTGTGCCAACGCCACCACCGCCTCCGCCAGCTGCCGGCGCCACCACCGCATCCGCCTGTGTCGGCAATACCCTTCATCCTCCAAACCGAAATAGCCTTCAGCCTCCACGCCGCCCAAAACCACCTCCTAAATCCACCATTCCCCGTGTTGAAAAAGGAGGAAGAAACCCACTCCACTCCCGCCGCCACCACCCATATCTCAACCCCTCACCTCCGTCAACTGCCACTGCGAAATGGAAGTTGAAGTAAAGCTCTGTCTACCAGATTCCACTTCCCACCAGCTCCTCTCCACCATCCTCTCCCTCCACTACCGCAAGACCTATTTCCAGGAAAACGTGTTTTTCGATGGTACCAACGCCGAGCTCTCCTCCAACCTCACTGTACTCCGCCTCCGCCTCTACGACCTCGATTCCCACTCCGTCCTCTCCATCAAAGCCAAGCCCGTTCTCCTGTTTTTGTTTCCTTTTATGAAAAAAAAATTTGAAATTTGGTTATTCTTGAAATTTAATTTCTGCAGTGAAATTCCGAGATTATCTGTGTTGTTTGCTATTTTTGGTGGCGAGGGTGGCCATGGGTGGTGGTGCAACCTGTTGGTGGATGCCGGTGTTGGCTAATTTTTACTGTTGTTTGTTTAGGGGCTGATTTGATGCCGATGATACTGTTTTTCTGGTGGTGGTGCGGTGGCTGATTTCAGGGGGTCTTCCGACGGGGTTGAGATATGGGTGGTGGTGGCTATTTGGATTCAATTTTATGGCTGTTGGGGTGGTGCCCGGCACTGTTGCGGTGGTGCCGGCGAAGTTTGCTGGAAAGAGAGAAAGAGTGGTTGCTTCCTTTTTTTTTTTTTCTTTTGTTTCTATTTATTTTTTATTTTTTAACTTGTTAATTGTAAAGTTCCCATTCTACCCTTTTGAATTGAGTCAAAATTGAACCAATTTTGACTTTGTGGTTTGACTAACGGTCAAATGGATGGAAACCATCCATTTGGACCTCCGCCGCATATTTATTAAAGGTTTGGGACCTCCGCTGGCACAAATGAAAGGTTAGAGTAAAGTGTGCAAAAATCTGAAAGGTTTGGGACCGCATGTGCAATTATCCCTATTAATAATCGAATACTAAAATTTGATATCTCAATACTTGAAAAATTTTCCCAAATTTTCTTTAATCAATTGGAACTAATTCTACTTTCTAATACCTTCACCAATATTTACTATATCCAAATTCACCTTCATCCCAATCATAGAAATAACCACACCTTCCAATCTAGTGAAAACTAGCAACCAACAACTCACCCAATTTAAATTTCATCTTGTTCCATAAATTCATGCTTTCATGTGAGTAATTCCATCAACATTACATTTCCAAAAATGATTTTTACTCAATAACCCAATTAAAAATTATAGGGTTTGCTAGAATGGCTTACCTTATGCAATTAGCATAACAAATCAAGAAGATTGACTTGAAATTATACTCCTTCCGCTTAATCTGAAAATTAAACCAACAACATTGAACCCTAGAATATTTTACATCATCATTCCAGAAGAATTTTACTTCTTTACCTCTTGAAGAAATGAAGAAATTGAACCCAATCTTTTCTTCCTTCCTTTTTCCTTTTCCCTTCTTCCTTTCTTCTTTCTTTTCTCATTTTCTTTCTCTTTTCTTTCCACCGTTTCTCTGCTTCCTGTACCCGTTTTCAGCTTTCTGTTTTGTATGTAAATGGAGAAAATGGGCTATACAAATGACACTTGTACTCCACTAATACCGATATTTGCAATCAAGTCCTCCAACATTCATATAATATAGCATTAAATCCTTAACTTCCAATGATAGGTAAGTACATCCCCCAAACTTAAATGATGTCCATCTTAAACCCTCAAATAATGTCAATTGTAAAATAAACCCCAAGAAAATGATTTATTTCATTTAAGTCCCTATTTGACTTTGACTAGTCGAACCTTTGACTTTGAAACAAAATCTTTACTTTTGACTAGTATAAAATGGGGTGTAACATTAGGAGTACATTAATTTGCAGAAGTGGAGTGGAAAAAGCAAGTGATTCCACCACAAAGATGTTCGGAATTCAACTCGTACAAAAAGAAAAGTTTGAACTGAATTTCATTTACTCTATGTTATAATGTTACGACAAACATGCCAACTTATTAGTTATTTCGAAGAATGATGATATACAGATCCTTATTTGCCTTCTATCTTGTTTTGGTGACGGTAGGCAAAGTCCTTACGTAGTGAGGCTTTGTGTTTCTTCTTAGAGGAATTCAGAAGGAGTTTAGACAGATCACTCTCTCAAAGTATTAGTGGTGAAATAGCTACTGTCTCTTGGAAGAAGGTTTCACCATATCTAGAATAAAGAAGCAATTTTTACCACCACACATTTTATTTCTATATTTCTTACCCTGTTTATGAGGCCGGTATTTAATGCAATTGCAAACTGCAAAACTGCCACGATGTCAAGTCAAGTTCGAAATCCTCCTTGAACCTGAGCTTTGGTGAATATATGGTGCTGAGTTTTTCCTATCCTCATGACCCAACATAATTTGATTGATCAGCTTTAAGGGACTTCTGAAAAATGGATCATGGGCAGAATTGAAATCGACTTACATTACGTTATAGGAGAACAAAGAAGCTGAGCAGATTCACCCGAGGACTGTTGGGACGTAGCTCAGGATATATGGAGTGCAGGTGGAGATGCAGGAAAAGCAATATGGTTTTAGCACCCTCACTATGGTTTTAGCACCCTCATATAATGGTTAAAGTGTGAGTCATGTGACTGGTTTTGTATGAAATTGAGTGTCTAGTAATTGTCAGGACCGATTAAATCCTCTTTGGTTCGTGGTTCTAGCTCCATTTATTATCAAGGTCAATTGTTGAACCATGTCCATTTTAATATTAAACATATCCCTCTTGGTGCCATCCACTTCTGTGTTCCTGGGCTTGTGGATTGGATATGATGAGAATGATGCATAAGTGAGAGTTTTTATCAGATATTTTTCTACAATAGTTGGTGCAAACTATTCAAATGGTTTATAAAATCTCAGGCAGAGGCAACTGCTTCATAGCATGGTTCAGTATTTTGTGAAATTTGCTGGCGCCAAATATGTTTCTAGGGCTGATGACCTGACTGGTTATTTTAATGATGGTGGCACAAAACTAAATAGAGGATTATAAATTGAGTAAGAGAATAAGTCTCCCATCAGTCCAATACCTTGGAAGAAATATACATTCTCTTTCAACTATTTCTGGACTGCTCCTACTATATGTATCTTTGTATGAACATCTGAAAACTTTCACATTTGCAGGCTGAAGATGGCGTTGGCATCCCAGAGGAAATTCTTGATGAGTCGAGTTTTGGAAGCTCCTTGAAGTCGTACTTCATATTTATTCAATTTGATATCATTTGGTCCCTTAACTACTTTGCTCTAATTGTTCTAAATTTCCTTGAGGTTTGTACAGCTTCCAAACTGGCGCTTTATATATTTTTTGACTTTAAACAAAATTTCCAACATATCTGTGATTGGTGGATCTTCAGAAACCTCTGTGGTGTTCCGGGAATTGCAGTAATAGGGGGTACTACTTTCTAGGCGAGGTTCCATATTTGACCGGTACTGAAAGTCTCATATACGAGGTAAGGTCCCAAAAGTGGATCACTCATTAACATCGTTTGCGTGTGTGAATCTTTTACGAAGTCATGTGAATTCTCTGAAATCCTGTTGAAGTTTTGAGTTTTATGCTATCAATAAAGTTTGATGTGTATTGTTATATTTATGTATTACTATAAACACACACATACATGAAGAACAAGCACCAGCAAAAACTTCATGGAAATGGAGTGCACTGGATATATACATAGCCTACATCAAATCTCACCCATTCTAACTGCAGTCGTCAATCCTATTTGGCTTGCCTACTAATGACGCTTTGGATTAATACCAAAACGAATTAAATTTGACAGTTAACATGGTATAATGTTACAAGCAAAATGAACATCATAATGGGCTACTTTCCTCCTACAAAATCATCATCCTCGAAAGTTTAGCAAAAAATAAGAAAAGGATTCTGAACTATCTTATAAATAAGCAGGGTATGAAATGGAATGCAGTGCATCAACACGACATATATACTCTGTCTAGTGCTATGTGATCAGATTTGCAACCTTTTCATCTCCTCAAAGTGAAATTTCTTTTCCATGTGAAGATCATAACGTAAACTACGAGGAAAGGAAAATTTTTGCTGCAAATTTGAAAAGTCTTGCACATGTCATAATTTGTTGAAATGCAATTCCACGTGCACAGTTGCTAGTGGCAGAACTTACTGGATAGTTTGACCTTCCTAGTTTCTATAAATGTATAACTGATTTGAGCTTCTAACCATATCTAACTAAAGTTCTGCTTTCTTTTGCAGGGCATAACTCTTTTGATTCTCATTATGCATATACTTTTTCCAATATCGTATGAAGGGTTTGGTATCTATTGGAAAAATCTTCTTAATAGACTTAAGGTACTTAGTTCATTAATTGCAAATGGAAAATCGCTATTCAAAAGTTCTCATCTTGTTTCTCTCTCTTTTGAGGGAAGAGATTCCTTGTTTCATTAACAAAAAAGAAGAAAATATATGTGATATAGATAGTCAATGGTGACAAAATTATATTCCACATTCTGTGTGCAGAATTGATTAACCTCTTTCTTTTTTTTTTTTTTTTTCTGAATTTCATTCATTCCCAAGCAGATTCACTATTTTTTAAGTTATTCTAATTCAATGATAAAATTTTTGTTTTTATGTTGGATTTGTCCTTCTCAGATTTTGAGAATGTGGCGTGTATATAAAAAATACAAAATATGAAAATAATGTTTTAATCCTGTCTTTTTGGTAAAATATTCTGAAGGATGCAAAAACCAAGCATAAAGCAACAAATTCTAGGTCTAAACCAGACATTTTGCACCCAAGCATTCAACTGGAATGAAGTGACAATAGTTATTGCATGGAAAAAAATGAGTTATGACATAAAGGGATTTGCCACTTGTCCCATTGACAATACCAGGAGATTCCTTTCATAATTATGGCATTTCCATGAATACTATTACATTTCTGGAAAATGGAAAAGAAAATAGAGCTCTTTTGTCTTACATAAGTTTAATGCACCTTGTTTTCAGGATGAGGGTAACTTGCAAGATTAAGTCGTACCGTTTTCTCTAAGCAATATATCTTGAGTAGGTTGACATTATTTGGTACAGATGCAAATATTTTACATTTACCATGAATTGCTCCATAAAAGACACACAAAATCAGTTGTGAGGAAGGCTTGTCTTGAAGAAAATGAATTAACCTGTTATTTTCATGCAAAGGATATTGTCTATGTAAATGCAGAGATGTATCACATGGAATTGGCTCATGTGGCGATTATTGTTGCTTTCCAATGCTCATATAACCAGTTTATAATTACTTTCTTTCTTTATTCGAGATAACTATTGTCAAATATACTCAATAAAAGATTCAATGCCCCTATGTGAGAGATTCTCTTATTATATAGAAACTAAAATAACAACTAAATATGGTAGCAATCAATTACAATATTAATTAATGGTAAAAACAATCTATCTATAATAGTCGTAATCTTTGACGATCTCTGGAATCTTATTTAATCTTGCAATCACGAACTGGCGACAGTGACAATGCTTGTGCCCACTAAGAAGAAATCTAAATCAAAGCAATCAACTACGAAAATTAGTGACGGCGAGAGACCAAAAACAACAATAATGCAGAAACAACAAAGAACTATTTCAAAGTCACTCCAAGAACACTCCAAAGATACTTCGAGAACTCACACTCCTCAAGAAGAATTTTCAAAAGAAATTCACGAAGTATGCCGACACACATAGTGAGCTCTATCTGTCAAAGGAACTTAGTCGAACACATAATTTGTGTTCCAACAAAAGTTCTAACTCCAAAACACCGGCCAAAACTCCAGATACTGCAGGTGGAAGAAATCTCACAAAATAGTCTAAACTTGAGCTCATCACCTGAGCAACTAAAACGCGATGATCTGCACTCCCATGTCTCTCTATACTCACGAAGCACCGTATAAAGGAAAAAAAAATTAAAGCCCAATCCAAAAAAATGTTAATATCTCCGCCCAAACTTTATCGGCCAGTGAAAAAAGAAAAATAAAAAATCAGATTGCGAGCCCAAACAAACTTCAACCCAAAATCAGATATGTATTGATTTGTAAAACTGCAAAAAAGGATCGTGTTTATTCAAAAAAAAATTGGCCGGGTGAGCAGCACAAGGCCGTCAACTGGAAACGAAATTCAATGGTTAATTTGTTTAGAATCAGAACGGCTTTGATACATGTCAAATATACTCAATAAAAGACTCCATACCTCTATGTGAGAGATTCTCTCATTATATAGAAACCAAAATGGCAACTAAATATGGTAGCAATCAATTACAATATTAATTAATGGTAAAAACAGTCTATCTATAATAGTCGTAATCTTTGACGATTTTCGGAATCTTATTCAATTTTCGACGATTTCCGTAATCTTATTGACAACTATCATAAGTATTAACATGTCCGTTTAATTTTCTTCACGAATTATTTGCATTACATAAATATTAGAACAATAAATGACTGAGTTTAATGAAAAACTTTTGTTTTCTTATGATCATCTACTGTACAAGAGAACATGTTTTAATGACATAAATAATGAGTATATTGAAGCTGCCAAGAAGTCATTATTTTGACTTTTAACTAGTTTTTTTCTCGTCAAATCGATTTCTTGCCTGTTATATACGTGATGCTGCCACAATATATTTTTTATTTCCTTGTTCTCTGTTTTGAACATATTTTATACATTGTTTTTGTTGAAGTACATGTTTAATTAGACAACAAAGATTTAAAAAAATATATAAGTTGATGATAGTTGAAAAAAAAGAAGTTGATTGGCCAATTGATCTCCATTTTTTCCTTCACGAATAGAGACCGAAATTTTATTAAAACGTTCCCTGAGATATTTTTCCATTATTTTTGACTATTATATCTCCATTACTTATAATATCAGAACCTTCGCTTTTTTCTTTTAATATTTGCCCAATGGAACAAAGGGATATATTGATGTGATGAAACCACTTACTATATCCGCAAGTTCTTGCGATGATTGTAGTGCTTATGACATACATCACGTACGTTGGCCACATGAATCTCATGGTGATGGATTTCTTGTGAATTCAGATTTGTTTAGTTAATTAACTTGGGAACTGTAAAAATTAGCACGACGGAACATTAAAAATGAACCGTCTTGATAACTAATCAGTTTTTATTTCATAAATTTCAGGTACTTTTGTTTCTAATATTGGTTGCCGACTTGTTAGTCTACATTATATATCTGTCTCCAGTGGCGTTCTATACTCTTCCTCTTAGGATTGCACCCTATATCCGAGTTGCTTTGTTCATCCTCAACATCAGGTATGATACTTAAAAAACTTTACAGTTTCCTTTCTTGGCCCAAGCAATTTCATAGATTTTTTTTCTTTCACCTGGAGTACAATATAACCTTGTGATTTAAATATTGCTCCATCAATTTGGAACTAATGTGTGAGTTATGGAGTTTTATCGTCCATCTGGTACTGTGAACATTGAAATCAGATTTAGGCAATGCTGTACTTTCTTTTGGACTAAGATTTTGGATTATCATTGGTGGGAAAGTTGGATACGGTGCCTATTCTTGTAGATAAACTTTCATATTGTTATATTTCTGTTCATCAGAAAACTCCAACTGCATGCATATAATGCTAGCCATTAGGAAGCAATCTACAAAGGGTGAAAAGTAGTTCTTATTGAACTCACTGATTTGCCAATATATAAGAATTTGTTAGATAAGAATGCATAAATTGAATGTGATGGAAACAAAGCACAATTTTAGGTAATAGTGAACTGTGGTTAAATTTTAGCTAGTAATTTTGCATGGATAAGACTCTATCTGCTTTTCTTTTCTGTATTTATTTTAAATTAGGGGATTGGGGGGTTGGTGGGTGGGCAGATTGCAAAAGCTTCAACGTTTTTAATGGTTAGAAATATAAGTAGGATCAGGGTTGAGGGTGCATTTTATCTAAAAAAGAGATCGTGGCAAAGAACTCAAGTAAACATCACTGATACTTCACAATATTTTGTACTGGTTCAGTAGACATAAGGAAATCATTAATACTTGTAGTAAAGATGAAATGGAAGGAGTCTAGAAGTATTAAATAGAAACAAGACTCAAACATTATTTTGGATCATGCAAGTGATAGATTTTTTATCCGAGGGTCTTAGGAGCTATAAAGACATTCATACATCTTATTACTGGTAGCTACTCTGCATGCAGCAACCAGAACTGATTTCCATCATTCTACCTATCCTTCGTGAAAACTCAAATTATCTCGTAACAAAATGAGGTAGGCTTCCATTGGACTCAATAGTTAGCTGTCTCGCCCAACAGTATAAAGTCGTTTGGCTGAGAAAGAACAAATTCGCAATTGAGGTTTTAAATTGAAGAATACACATAGGATGAGGATAGCTTTTGCCACTAATTTTAGCCTTGAAGAGGTGCATTCTGCTAAGCATCTTGTGATTGCATTATGTTCTTTCTGTAGTCAACTTAATAGCATAAACTGTTAAGTTGCAATTCTTTATTTTGCTTCTTAATTTGTTTTATTGACCCTAGGGAATTACGAGATTGCACCGTTGTCCTGGCTGGAATGCTTCCCACGTACTCTAATATCCTGGTGTGTCTGCATCTACATCAGTGCACTTAATATTTTTTCTATTTAACTGAATCAAATTACATTATGTTCAACTGAGACGTGTTGGATTTGAATCTCTTCATTAAGAAAATGATATTTGAACTTCTTTTTTTTCCTTATATTTTTATTTGTTTTGGGGCCAAATGCAGGCTTTGTGGCTTTTATTTCTTCTATTCTCTAGCTGGTTGGCATTTGTCATCTTTGAAGACACCAAGCAGGGGAAGACTGTATTTACTTCGTATGGCACAACTCTATTCCAGATGTTTGTTCTATTTACTACTTCCAACAATCCAGATGTCTGGATTCCCGCATACAAGTATGTGGCTATGGAAAAATTGATTCTTGATTGCTGTTTAACTTCCATTTTATAATTTTTGTCCTCAATGCTCATTGCAGTTCCAAACATATAACACCCCCACCCACTGAAAAATGGAAAATAAAATGGAAAGAAGAACCTTTTGCGTGCAAGGCAGTCATATTTCCATGAGATACGAAGGAGGAAGATTATCTTTTACTTCCAAAAAATCGTAATATACCTTTTTAAAATTATTATTCACTTTTATAGTGTACTACAGTGTGCCAGATTGGACTGGTCGGTCTGACCGGAAAACTGGACCTTAAACTGCTCCGGTCAATAGTAACTGACCACACTTCAACTGAACGGCCGAAAGGTTGTTAAAACCAGATGGGGTTTTGAGCAATTGGTGACCTTGACCGTTAACTCGGGTGGGTTATAAAAGTCCTGAACTTTATGCTTGGAGCCTTGAACCTTAGCTACGCGAGCAAATCTTTGTAGTCTATATCCCTGTGCCACTCTTACCTGTTAACATATAATTGGACATCAATTATTATATTCTTTTTTTGAGTCATCAAATATCATATTCTCTGTATACTATTTTTCCCTTTACACAATAAGAAATCAAAAAAGTTCTTTATTTGAGTGGCAAAGTAAAATTTTGTAATTAGATATCTTAGTTACTCTATTGATATGAATAAATATGTTGAAGATATGGAAATAAAAATCTCTATGATATTTTTCCAATAGTATATGATTATTTTCCTTAATAGTTAATTGTATAATTATTATGCAATCTTTTCTTTTAGAGTTATTTATAACCCTATAAATAGGGTCTTTTACTTTGTAATAGAAACAAATTTATTATATACAATTTCTAATATTCTTCACAAAATACATAAACCTTGATTAAGATAAGAAACAAATTATTGTGTAAGAGAAACAAGAGTGATACAAGTATTTTAAGAAGTCTATAAATTGTACAAGAAAACCTTAAAAAAATTCTTTTCGTCTTCGGTTAAATGACTTATTTTATGCAATGCATTATTGCCTTACTAGTTATGACCATTTTTCATTATGCACTATCTTTTTTATGAAATTCAATATATTTTATTTATATTTAAGTTGATAGTTGGTTGAACCAGTAACCAAGTGACATGGTACCTTGACTGGGTCAATATCCAGGCTGGTTTTAAAAACTACTGAATAAGTTTTAGTGATTTTAATGTGACATTCACATTATATACTTTCTCATATCTTTTGTTTACCAAGTAGAGTTCTTTACACATGAAGGGCATTCATTAAAAGTCTATTATCAGTTCTAACTTAGTTTCTCGTTTCTTTTTGCTCCGAGTTATCTTGACCGGACACCACCTTCGTCAGGGGGGTTAATCAGAGAGCCAACTTGGCTAGTTCTATTTTCTTTCTTTGATGTTGATACTATTGCTCAAGTTATAAATCGATAATTACCCCCTTTGACACACCTGGATTGCATCACCACTATTACACTGAAAATAGAATTGCATATACTGTCGGCAATCATATTGAACCTTTTGAAGTTATAATAGATTTCGTACTTGCCTTTATTTAATGGAACTTCTCTAGTTTTACTGACTCCTCCATGGTCCATTCTTTTTTGTAGGTCCTCACGCTGGTCATGCCTATTTTTCGTTCTCTACGTCCTGTTGGGTGTTTACTTTGTCACCAATTTGATCCTTGCCGTTGTATACAATAGCTTTAAGAGTGAGGTATAGTTCTCTTTCACTTCTATGCTGTCTTGCAAATTTTAAATGTTAGTCTGGCGCTGCTGCTTTGTATATTTTTATCTTCTGTTAGTTTCTTAACTGGAAAATATAAGCCGAAATGACTTTTCTCATCACTCCCACACGAGGAGTTCAGGCTTTAATATCCTAATTCAGATAATGACTGTGCGGTAGCTAGCTGTACCATTCTTTTTGTAGTAATTTTTGTCTTCTGTTGAGCTTCCTGCTATATGCACTGGCAACCAGAACCAATGTCGGTATAATCCTAACATTTGTCACAGCTTGTTAAACAAGTGGCTGAGAAGGATCGTGTGAGAATGAGGATACTAAAGAAAGCATTTAATTTGATCGATAACAATGTAAGTAACATTTCCTATTTATGCTTTGACTGATTGCCAATTCTACTACCTCAAAAGGCTTCGAGTCCTTTCATTTCTTTTATTTTGGTGCATGAAGATGATTCTTTTCTTTTTATTTTTATTGTTAATTGGAAGAATCCTCCTATTTATAATCCTGATGTGAAGTGCCAACTCATACTGAATGTGGCCACTCACTTGGAAGTCCTGTAGGTTAGTCAATTTGCAAGGATTTTACCTCATGATTAAAAAATATAGGGAAACATTGCTATGTAATGGGATCATGCATGTCGATCTTAGGTGATCATAAATGTCTGCATAGGTAAGGGAACTGAATAACTTTTAATTGCCTTTGAAATAATGATCTAGGTTCCACCACACTCACATCCTATTAATGCAGTTTCCCCCTCCCCACTCCCACCCCACCCTCCATCTCATCCCAAATATATACGCACAGGGACAACATTCATTGTTTTATTTCCATCCATCTCACGGAGAGGACGATTTCTAGAATTTTCTTACACACCTTCCATTTGTTAACCATTTATTTTTATTTTTATTTTTCTGCTCATTTTTCATTCAAGGAAATCATGTAGGTTGGTAAATGGAATATTGGTTGTCTTCGTAATTTTGTCAGGAGATTGCCACTATACCTGGAATGTAAAAACTTTCAGTAGTTGTGATCTCTGGAATAAGCTTGTTAATTATATAGTTGATTTACTTGAAGTATATTAAAATCATCCAGATTAGTACAAAGCTTTCTCATTATGTAGGAAAGGAATTTACACGACTTGGTCAAGTATATATGGTTTTCTAATTATGAATTAACGCATTTTAGATATTTTTGCTAATTGACAGGATCTTGGTTACCTGAACAAAGATCAATGCATTCGTCTTTTTGAAGAACTGAACAAATATAGGTGAAATTCATTTTTCCATGCATATTTCACTTATTAATTGTTGTAGACAACCTTGAAGATTAAATCATGGTTTTGGTTTCTTCTTTGAGAGGAAGTAAATAATTCTGCGACGTGTTTATTAATGCCTGATGCAGACTACTGCTTGAGAATAGCAAGCCAGAAGAAGGGCTGAATTAACCCCATCATGCAAGTATCTAAGATTCTAAAATATCTTTTTAATAAATGTGAAGAATGATGTCAGAGGAAACTGTCAACCTATCTAAAGAAGAGAACTATACAATTCTATAACTATAATTGTAAATTATTCAAGGTATTTTCACTTATTCATTCATAGAAAATATGTGTGTATATATACAAGTAGCTCATACTATCTTGGGATAGAAATTAGGGCTAAAAGCTAAAACTAGTGACTTTACTATTCTAGGAAATAGTCTCTAACACTCCCCCTCAAGTTGGAGAATAAATGTTTATCATACTCAACTTGTTACAAAGATAATTCACCCGAACCCCATTTAGAGCTTTTGTGAAGATGTCTTCTCCCAATTGTTCTATTTTCACATACCCTGTAGAAACCAAACCTTGCTGAATTTTCTCG